TAAATCATTACTGCTTTATTAATTTTGAACAGTACAGTTCAACGCATTGCCTCGAGCATCGGTACGACAAAATTGGTTTTGCATCTTATGAATAATTTAATCCACTTAGTTCGTAAATTCCGTTCATGAATTCACTAATCACCACTTTTAAAACTATTGAAAATGCCGTGCGGATACGTTTCGTGGACTTTTTTCAGAAATTACATATTCTATGAATTTGTTTCCCTTATGAATTGTAAAATAGCAAGATTCAAATATTTAAAAGAATCCCTTATGAATTGTAAAATAATAAGATTCAAAAATTTTAAAGAAAGGTTATGCGAAGAAGAAAAAGGTTTCGTAGTAACCTAATATCTTTACTATTGTCTATTCAAGTAAAAAAAGGTTTAAATATACCTTTTATCGCTACTTAGATACAATGAAGATTGTCTGTATAAAGTGAAAAAAAGATACTTTTTTAAGAATTGGCAGTGCCTTACGTAACAACTTATAATCTCCTTTTAAAATGAAAAGTTAAGTTAAAAAAGAAATGTTTTTAAAATGATTTATCCGGAAGATGTTTTCTTTACGTACTTTCTTACCTTTATATAATAAATATATGTAACAATAAAAGTTACGTTAATGTAATCACATGTTCAGTTTTAGATACAGATATCGGTAATTTTAAATTTAACACGAACAGTTTACAGATTGGAAGTATCTCGTTGATCCAAAGATAAAACGTCATAGATCTTTAATTCAATAGTTTCGCTTAGAGCTTCTTTCGCCTAAGTGGTCCGAATATATAATGAGACTGGAGCGCTACTAAAATTCTATGTCTATTGACATCGCTGAATGCGCACTTTTCCTTTCAGGGAAATGGATACGGGAAAACTGTACTCAAGCGCATTAAGTTGAAGCGGGGCTTACTTAGACCGCTAATTTTAAAAGTGGTGAAAAGACGATAGTGTTGAAAAGTCCTTAAATAAACCCACTTTATTAGAAGGTGGCAACACATCCAGAACCTAAGGGTGTTGCAAAAAGGATTGGCAAAAATATCTTTGAATTTTTAGGGTTCCGTATTCAAAAGGCAAAAAGGGACCCTATTACTAAGACTCCGCTGTCTGTCTGTCTGTTAGTCTGTCAAGGGCTGTATCATATGAATCTGCACAGTATAAATAAATATTTAAGTTGGGCTCCCATACAACAGACATGATTTTTTTTTCCGTTTTTATAGATAATGGTACGGAATCCTCCGTGCGTGAGTCCGATGGTCATCCAATTTTAATATACGATTAAATTCTTGTCAACTGTTGTTTAACATTACTAAAGCTTGTAGAACCCCTGAAAACAACGTTGATTTTGATTTGAAATTAATGACTGACTAACGAACGATCGCCAGAAAATCGAGTTTCTAGAAGCCTTTTTCCCTTGATCAACGAACTGTCAAAAGTTTGATTAACCTATGAATTTGGCCGAACAATCGTCGGATAAAAATTTCCTTCAACTTTTTTTTATGTGAAAAGTTGCCAAGCTGGCAGACGGTTCACCTGATGTTGATTACCGACGCCCATGGACATCTGCTACACCCGAGGGTTCCAGATGCGTTGACAACCTTTTGAAAATTGGGCTCCAGCCACCTCACTCACCAGACGAAACGCGAAAGTATTATACTTCCACTTTACGCCGGTTTTCTGTGAGGTCGTGGTACTTACCGTGCTTACGTGTACTTAAGTGCTGTTGCACGAATGGGCAGGCTCGTCCGGGCATGAAATGGCAGTGAAAAGAAAAAAATGAAATGAAATCTTATTTTTAATAAAAAAAATGAACTTATCATTATCACCTCTACCAATGCGTTGTAAGTTATTACATAAATTTTTTAGTGAAATATGCTATTACAAGTATAGGTAAAATATTAACTTTACTTAAGCTTTTCGTTCTTATAATGTAAAAAGCTTATAACAAAAATAAGTATCCGGTTCCGGCCCTACGCGTTTAAAATGACTCCGTGGCGCAGTTGCCAAGTTATTGGCTTCGCCGTCGGGGGTCGTGGGTTCGATTCCCACACGGGGCAACTATTTGTGCGACCCACAGATAGTTGTTTCGCATCTCGGTGATTGTCCTCGTGTAATTTATGTTTGTATAACGTCCTTACAACGCAGGAAAATGTTATCCTAAAGAGAGGGCAATGTTTTTTAAAAACAGAAGAAAAGAAATGAAAAAATAAAATAACGCGTGCTCGTGCGCGTTATTTTAAACAAGATAATAAAGAATATCACCCACGAGCCATCATGGCGTCGCGTGACCCCCGGTGGCTACATAACATAATAAACGATACTTTAAATTTTTTTTTAATTATTGCCTTATAGGCCAAAGCGAAATATATATTATGGCGCCACCCGACGATTACATTGTTTTACACCAATTGGTTTAATATGAGTGCCCCAATTTCGGTGCGCCAGTGTCATATATATCTAGTATTTGTATTAATATCATTGCCTAAAATCATCGCGACGCATTTTTGAAGATGTTCACCGGTCATTGTCAGTCTTTTAGTATTTTTGTGAATTCTAGATCAAGGTCATATTAAACATACTTGTTTTGTACAGGCGATAGCTATGCTTGGCCAGAGGGAAACCCAAGAAAAAGGATAGAAAAGATCTATCAGGTTATAGGTTGGCTGTATTGACTTTCCAATAAAATTAATAATATATAAATATATAACAAGTAAAAGTATAGCTAATAGAAACAGTCTATTATAATGTCAAAGAATACATTGATTACAAGGGAAGAGTCATCCCCAACTCTGCATTTGCAAGTCCCCTGGCTGATGATAATTTTATACTTAAATATTTTTCTAAAATCGTTATTATTAAATTTACTTAAAACTCCAATGACTGTTTCCTTGTATCAAAATTCAGTGCATACCCTTTTTACTGCCATCAATGTCATAATTATTAAAATTGTTCGATTAAAGTCATCAATGAAACACCAATTTTAAACCACGCATACCATTTTATTAATTTGATTGTGATAGCTATGCTCCTGTCTATGTATATATATATATATATCAATTAGTTACACATTAATTGACAATATAAATTATTCTTAACAGTAAGGGTACAAAAATAAAATGTGAAATAATCGCTACATATCGCGGGCTTGATGAAATTATCAAGACATCGCAGTACATTCAGCATGCGATTAAATGTCCGTGTAATTAATAGTTTACAAGGAAAATAAACCGCTCGCTTTCCACGTGTAATGTTTTGTTTTTTTAATAAAAGTCAAAAATTTAATATAAAATTTAATCTATTCAATGATATAAATATTAAATATTTCATAGGATACGTGATTTTCAAATAAAATCGATGAGTGATATTCAAACAAAAACTGATACGCTTAGATCAGCGAAAATGTTCATACACACGATTTAATATAACAAGTTTCTTAATAAATTCCTTCAACGCTTTATTTAAAAATAAAGCAAGACAAATGAGAATATTTATATATATATGTATATTTAAATTTCGTACCGCTATGCATACATTTTTTCTGTAAAATATAATATTATGCAAACAATTTTTACTCTATCTACATACGTCAAAGGATAACTGACTTATAAATAATTTACAAGAGGCTAGTACAAAAGTTGCGGTCTACAGTGTACTTAGATTAAAATTTCGTATTTTATTTCGTTATTCTATTACAGAGGTTACGCCAAATTGCGAAAGGGTTACATAAATTATATTGGAAGCGTAAGTTTATACCATAGAAGTAAACTATTAGCAATACTTAACACTGACTATATTTACTACTATTTTATTTACCTTTATTCACTATCGCTCCTAATACATTCCCTATCAGTCTGATGTCAACAACAATTACTACTTTGAATATGTATAGGTTATTTATTTACATTAAGTAATCACATACCGAACATCCTTAAGAAGTATTGAATGTCATTATATGAACTATTCAAATTAATTTTCCGCATTTTGGTTGTATCTTTGGCTCATGTTAAATTCTTATTTTCGACTGTATTTTGCGGAATAATATTTATATTGTTACATACAATGTAATAATCTGTACGAATGTCGTATTTATAATACTTAAGTATTATATCTTTACACTAAAGAAGTACTTTTAGCTGTGATCTAATATCGTTTGCCGCCATATAAGCCATTAATGTTAGGAAGATAATTTTAAACGATATTTTAGGAAGATTTAAACACAAAAGATAGGGGTGCTTTTGGGGTGGCAAAAGTTCAACCCACCGAGAGGTCTATACGGACAGAGTATACATAATTTAATTTTGTTTACGTGAGCGCTGTATGACATAGAAAAGCTACGCAAAAATAATAAAAAAAGTTTTGACTCTTTCGTCGGTGACGTGATTTTAATGAATAACTACAATAATGAATTAGTACAATATGTTATATTTTACAAAGCAGAGGATAGATGACAAAATATGGTACCCATTTTAATATGGTACCCAGTAGGAGACGCGAATGAATTGTGGATAGTGAATTATTAAAAATTCTTTAGCTAACTATATCCTTTACTAAATTTAAGGCCACCGGACATATAAAATTTCAATGAGGATAGTAATGAATGATCAAATATTTAAAAAAAAACCGATCAAAGTCGAAAGAGCTAAGTGTGAAGAGAAAAAAAAAACAGGGTGCAAAAGCAGTTCTTAGCGACTTGAGCACTATAACAAGTATGGTCACAATTACAACTTAGTGAACTTAAATATAATGTTACATTGTATAATACTTTACAAAAGTTAAGTTACAAGTAAACAATGAAGCTGATCAATATGATTACATACGTTTCGTGGACTTTGTAAGGTGATGAATTACAATCAGACTAACAGCATAACAACAACACTATAGCATGGCTGACGACGCTCAGCCGAATCCTCTTCAACCGCCTTAAATTACACTAAAATAAACTTTATTACACACTAATAGAGTCTGTTCTTTAGCGTAATTCCACTAAAGACGGGTTATGCACTAAATGGTCTTTGTCACGATACTACTTTCGCTGGGGCTGGAGCTGTCGTCGGATCGCTGAGACTTGAGGTCCTGAAACAAGGCAATTTAAACAAATTAATTGGGTAAGTATAAAATAGAGCCGTGATAGCTCAGTGTTAGGTCGCTCGTTTTTAATTCAATATACTCCAGCAACCTGAGATCAAATAACGGTGCCAGCGCTAACGACATTTTTAATTCTAAATAAAAAGTGGTGGACTATGCCCTGATACCCTCTGTATAGAGGAGGCCTTTGTCCAGCAGTGGGACATGTATAGACTGTTACTTCTTACGTAGTTTTACTGGCGGTAGCCAGGATTAAGAGACCATACTGTAAAGTATTCAAAACCTCGATAAACTTATATAAAAAAAAATAACCGTGATCCATAAAAACTAGTTAGCACTCCAACGTTACGTTCCATCATGTTAACTATCTTGAAACCATTTATTTCTCAACCTTAAAGATAGATAAACAACCCGTACGATACTACAGTAGTTATGTAAGAGTATTACATTAATAAATCCTGAATTATACAGATAATAGAATTTGAACTTTTTTCGAAAGTGTTGAAAAGCATTACACTCCTTTTCATCGCTGTGACGTACGAGTATGAATCGCTTTCTCAGATTCGTAACACATTTGGGGAGTACGTCAGCGTAAACGTATCAAATGCGGCAAACTTTTAATGACCATGTCGTTCCGTTCATCTTCGTTTATAACTCTGCGTGCGTCTGGAAATACTTTATTCCGAGAAGAATTACGTTTCACGAGGATATATTACTTTGTTCCTTTACCATCTTCATGGAATATGAATGTTTTCTTTTACATAATAGCCATCTTAAAAGTTTATTCATATTGTTTAGTTAATAATTTATTGTTAATTAAAAAAAAGTGAAGCAGTTCTACGAGAAAATGGTTAACAAAATATCAAAAAGCAAGCGAAAATACGGTGACAGAGTTATTACCCGTCAAGTTTGTGGCTTATTAACTTGTACATGGGTCATGAGGGTTAATTAAATTTGGGTAAAATGCATGTGAATTTATCTCGTAAATAGAGTGAAATAAGAAAGAAACCGGTAAAATGCATGTGAATTTATCTCGTAAATAGAGTGAAATAAGAAAGAAACCGGTCAAGTGCGAGTCAGACTCGCGCACGAAGTGTTCCGTACCATTATCTAGAAAAAACGGCAAAAAATTATGTCTGTTGTATGTTGTATTTGTCCTTTTTTATTTTTTTGCCCCATTTAAATATTTTTTTATTCTGTTTTTCAGTATTTTTTATTGTAGCGGTAACAAAAATACATTATCTGTGAAAATTTCAACTGTCTAAATATGACGGTTCGTGACAGACGGACAGACAGACAGACACAGGAGTCTTAGTAATAGGATCCCGTTTTACCCTTTGGGTAAAACACAAGTTTAACTGTGAGACACTTATTTTCAATAAAAACCGACGAGATTTATTAAAAATGTAGTGATAACTCATGATTGATAAGAATGAGTTTAAGCGTTGTAAGTTATTACATGATTTTTTTAGTGAAACATGCTATTACAAGTATACGTAAAATATTAACTACGCTTAAGTTCGTGACAGACGGACAGACAGACAGACACAGGAGTGTTAGTAATAGGATCCCGTTTTACCCGCAGATTTTTAAGTTTAAAGACACTTATTTATTAACTACGCTTAAGTTCGTGACAGACGGACAGACAGACAGACACAGGAGTGTTAGTAATAGGATCCCGTTTTACCCTTTGGGTAAAACACAAGTTTAACTGTGAGACACTTATTTTCAATAAAAACCGACGAGATTTATTAAAAATGTAGTGATAACTCATGATTGATAAAAATAAGTGTTTAACCTGCATTTTATGTCGCTTCATAGATATATTATTGGTCTTAAATTGAAACGCGGGAAGAATACTTACTTTCGACGTGACTAGCCGTTGAACCACAATCTCTAGTCTATCTCCTGCCGCGGCTATTAATGGTACAGTTAGACAGCAGTCGTAATCCACTGTCCGTGTTCCGTTCACCTGCGAAAGAACGGTAAGTACTATGAAAATTACGTACAAATTTGAATTTATAATTGACCAGACCGGCCTCTAAAATTGTGTTTCCCCGTTTGACCTATGGTCTACTAATGCTGAGTGAAGTCCCAGGTGTTATTAGTCGTCAAAATAGGGCTGCGTATCATGGGATACGTAGATACGGATGGGACAAGTAAGGAATTGTCCTAAAAACCGAATAAATGACGATACTAGTTTCACGGGCGACTGAATGGAGGCTGCGACTGAAAGTAGGCAAAACCAATTAGTCTCATATTGCTTGGGTTACAGGATACATCCCGTTTAGAAAGGCGCACTATCTAAATGTTTAATGTGATGCTTAATTAAAAAGGGGATAAGAGTTTCCTTCAGTGATACAATTTATTGACTCGTTATTCCAAACGACGCTGCACTGTAAAGCTGCGAGTCACCGCTTTATCGCGTGTCCTCCGTATCTTATCTTAAACTTGTGAATTTCTCGCAGACTACAAACCTGCAAAATCCTATCGTAGGGCCTCAATAATCCGACGATGTCAGCCGGCCCGCCCTTTCTGATCCGGTTAATGTACACACCGCGCTCATACAGCCCGTCGGACACGGAGAAACCGTAATCGTCGTAGATGGCATCTTTGTACAAAATAACGTGGTGAACCGATCCCCTCGCCGGAGACAAGGTCTCGCTGCTATATAGGCCTGCGATAAACGGTACAGTTTCAATTTGACGTAATGATATCTTTATCGTAAAAATAATGGATATTGTAAATATAAAAAATAAATAAAATATAAAAAACCCTTTATTTCTCCTGTATATCTTACGTATATTAAAACTTATATTATTCTAGTAAGATTTGTATAGTTATTAGTTTTTTTCTTAATCTACTTTACTTATTTAATCTATTACTTATTTATTTATAATAATAATTAAATAAAATATATGTATAAAAAATGAATAAGGAATACAGTATTAATAAAGTAAAAATGTCAACTCGATCTTTTACGAAAGAACATTTTTACTTTGTGGCGTTTTTATTCCAAAATCCATGTTATTTTTTTATACTAATTTTCTAAATGCCAAACGTTGTCCCATGGTACTTAACAAGAGTTATTGATGAGATCAGATGCCTCAGTAAAGATGCAAGCCTTAAGCTATTCAAATGCTTGATTTAAAATGTCTCGTCACACATAAGTTATGTTTAAGTTGATCTTTGAAAATTAGAATGCATTAAATGACTATCCAACCAGCAGGAATCCACCTTTTTCGAAACGATTCCGTTCCTATCGAAGGGTAATTGAACGTCTGACAGAAAATTATAACAATTAAATGGATTCCATGACAATAATTCTATTCAAAAGCACGTCGAGTCGCTCGACCCGCTACATGACAGCGCGGTTGCCGAATATCATACTGGGATTTTGGTTTCTGCAGAATTATTGTTTGAGTATGTTTTTTCCAAAACAGTTACATTTATTAAGACCCGTGTTAGCTCATTGTCAAGATGTTCATTGGTAGTGGTGTAATTTAGCAACACTTATATTAATACAGATGGTTTATACAGTAACATTTTTCATTCACATTTTTCGTAGACATAAAACGATTGTAATAGTGGCGCCAGATGGTGTGGGTTCTATCACCACCACTGAAAAAATACTGTGTGATGACTACATTGTTTTCCTAGTGTCGTGGTGTTTATTGAAATATTTATTTATTTATAAAAGATGAGTATATTTATCAGTTACTTAGTATCAGAGGGCCATGCCATTTGCCGTGACGGCAAAAGCCGATTTTATTACCATGCGTAATAGTCGTTTCACACCAAAAAAATTCGCGGATGTGTTAAGTTTATTGCCATGCGCTAATAGACGTTTCATATAAAAAATCGAAGATATGTGAAGTCTGCCAATTGGCAGTGGGTTCGTTTGTATGATTTACCCCAGAGAGTACAGATACGGAAGAGGTCTTTGCACAGCAATGGGTCATTCAAAGGTTTGAACTTTTCTTTTAGATTTGATTTTATTATTTATATATGAAATTGGATTGCTTATACAGTCTCCGCCAAGCGGACAGTCTCCTACAGACATATTTGTAATAATATGTAAAAAGTAATTTACTAACCTGGTACTTCGTTTTCATAGATGGGACTAGTAGAAAATTGAAAACTTGTTCCAGGAGTTCCAGGAGGCTTGAGTGGTGACTTCTGGGGAGTAGTGACCGTGTATATTCCGCTGTTGAGGTAATCGTTTTCCCAGTTCGCCCTCCTACTTTTCGGTGAGACGATCCCATATGGGCCCATCTGGACGTAGTCACATTTACACGAGGACTTTTCCATATTATGCAATTGACAGTCTTTCATATTGGAAGTAAGGATTTCAATTTGATGTACATCATCCTCCCTCGTAATATGTTGCTTATTTTTTAGCGTATTGTCGGGTATTATGCATGTATTTTCATAATGGAAAGTCTTCAGTGAATTATTCAATGAATAATTGGGCAAAGGCAAGTCATTAACGCTATAAGGTGCGGCTGAATTGAAACTAGAAGCCATCAGTTTGTCTTCATCTGTCGGTGAATAGGGTTGCTTATCTATTATTCGGCTCTTGTCTGGCACTGCATACTCAATTACCTCAGAATTAACTGAAAATTGAAGGTAAACTTTATGAATTAAATATGAAGTTTCTTCGTTCTATATTAAAGCAATAAAATATTCGGTTGGATAAAGACAAAGACCTCAGAGAGTGTGGGGATAAATTATCATAAATTGACTTTACCGCACCGTTTTGGAAACAATAACATTACTTAAACTAAACTACAAAAAAAGTGCAACAAGGCTTTTATCTTTTTTTTTCTATTCTAGATTTTTGAATAAATACCAAAAAATTAAACTGATTATTATCACTCTACTTGATATTAATGCACTCATTAATTAATAAAAGGGGCGTTTAAGAAATGAAGGTTAAAGAATATATTTCTAATAATAGCATGAAGATGTTATTATTATAATGTTTTGCCTTTCTACATAGTAAAACCATTTAACGGAAAAATGTTTATTTTAATTTTCAAGTCAGTTACATTTCTGTTTTCTTTTATAAATTAATATTCTTAAGGATACCAACCACAGTTTGCACTGGTCCTAATGGGTGTATTTTGATCCCAGGATTCGACAGCGCTGTCGTTAGATAAACCGGGACTTGAGGTAGAATGACTGGAATCCCTTGCACTGGTTTCCGCGCTCTCCAAGGGTCCTACTCAATTAAAAAAATGAAACGATATTATACATATATATAGATCCATGAAATCGTAATAAATGAGGATGAAAATTGAAGAATCAAAAAATTCACTAATTCTATGTTGAAAACTAGGCTAGAGCGCGAACAATATTGACGGTCGTTTTATTGGAAAGTAGGAAGGTAGTGTCTAAGTTTTGCCAGTAACTTACCTGTAACTTTTCGGCAAAACTGCAATTGCACTCTCAGTCCGCTTTGTTGCAGTAATTTGATAGCTTCAGATAATGGCTTGTTGAGTACACTCTCGCCGTTAATACTTAACAATTCATCTCCAATGGCCAGTTTCCCACATTTTTCTGCTAATCCACCTGTAAATATATTTTCACTTGAACTGAAACTATATTAGATTCATCTGGATGGTAAAAATATAAAGCATATAGTAATATTATATCCAAAATTACTATGACATTCGATAAGGTGAAGTTAAAAAAAAATCAAAATATCCTTGTATCATTAACGAAAATTCTATTTAAAAGTTTTAGAAAATATCGTATTATAAATATTTATAATAATACTTTTTGAAGCGAAAATAGCACATAGTTAAATGTATATACCTAATTCTGGAAGATTTTCGCGTTTAGTTTTGTCATATTATATTTCTTACCTTCTACGAGGCCGCTTAGTAAAATTGGCTGCGTGACGTCTTCACTGCCGGCAATTGTCAAACCAAGTGGGCCGTTTTCTTGTCTTATTAATTCAACAATGAAAACGGCCGTGTTCCCGTTATCGCTACTAGCATGACTCCGTTCGCTTTCTTTGGCACTGTTATTTGGACTGTCGGTGTGGTGGCCGGAATCATCGCCACTGTGGATCACGGCTTTCGTTTCTATGTTACTAAAGCTTTGTAGGGTCAACTTCGGATTGTGTTTGTGAACATTGGACCAGTCTTCATTGAGATCGCGCTTTCGAACTTTCAGAGTGATAATGTCATCGGGAGAGTTTTGGAGAATATTGAATGCTGTATCCTAGAATGGCAAAAATAAATATGCATATTAATCCAGAAAAATTAGTAAGACATTACAACTACAAATATACCTTTTAAAAATGTTATACTTCTCAGTTAAATTTACTGTAGTATTATGAAAACTTCAGATCTATAAGAATCACAAGAACATGCAAATGGTTGACTCTGCGTAATGTTCACTAAATATTCATGTACAGGAGATCGGTACGGGCAGCATTAGATATTGTAGCCGAGCAAATATTTACCAAAGATAAATTATGTAACGGTTGTCCATTTATTGCCAGCAGTTGATCCCCCGGGGCGAGAGCTCCACTCCGGTGAGCAACTGAACCAGGCTTTATGTCGGATATCATCATTGGCTCTTCGTTACTTAGTAACTTTTGCTTGCAACCTAGGGAAATATCACAGTACTTAGTTTCGATGAAAATTCGCAACCGAAATTTAATTAAAATAAACAACATTACAATAAAAGTGTATAGCGTTAAAAAATGTCCTAAATTACTATGCCTGTAAAGAAAGTTTTAATAATGTACTCATAGTTACTAAATAGTCATCAACTGAATGAAGTCACGTTGTGTAAAATATTTTTTAAATATATTAAACTTGTTTAAAATAATTTTAATCAAACTGCCGACTTATAAATCAAAAGATTACAGTATAATAATACGGTTACTCTTTATCGCTTTGATTTAGGAAGTTATAACAATTACTTGAGTTCACTTGAACACTACACTTTAAATAATTTTTTAAGGATTATTTCGCTTTTCTTTATTATTTTAATTTTGTTTTTCATTTCCGATGTTTCAAACCATTTAAAGACAGGGTCCCAGGTGACGGGACTGACTGAGAAGTTTTTACACCAAAAATGTTACGTTTTATTCTTATATATCCACGGGCTTGGAATTCAATGGGTAAATCCAAGCACATCGGAATGATTTAATTATTAAAAGTTAAAGGTAAGATAGTTTACGGTAGTTGATACTAACCATGATATTGTAAGTAGTTCGACACACCGGGAATAAAAATAACACGGTTTTATTTAAAAGTTATAATAAACAAAATAATGTAAATAAAAAAAAACATGAATAATAATAGCTTAGAATGCCTTGAACAGTATTAGATCTTTACCAGTTATTGTGACTCCGAGTCCTGCGGAAGTCTTTGCAAGTTTAACGCTGAACACGCCACTGGATGCCTCGATTGTATTTGGCATACTGAACTCCACGTTTAAATTTAGATATTTAGGGTTATGAGAATCATTTCTCCTTTGTAAAATTTCGTTTGCCACGTCCAGTGTGAGATTTTCGTGGCCGTTGATTGACATCACACGATCTCTAATTTGCAAGCAACCCGATCTGCAATGGTAAGTCCATTTTATGATTTCTGTTTTTTTATTTATTTATATACGAGTATATATATATTAAATTAAGCTATACTTTTATATATTTTTTTGCCGCTTATAATTCCAGAAATACACAATCATATATTTGAATTTTTTCATGAAAACTAGTTACAATAAAAAGTAAAAGTAACAGCCTGTACATGTCCCACTGCTATACAGAGAGCGTTAGGGCGTAGTCCACCATGCACATGTGCGGATTTTACACATCTTCGAAATATTTTTTTGTTATATAAATATGCAGGTTTCCTCACGATGTTTTTCTTCACCGCTGAGCCCGTGTTAAGTCTGCACTTAAAATTAACAATTTCTACAAATTTTAATTATAAACAATTTTCAGATATTCATTTTTAAGGAAACCTTGGATATAGAAATCTTTTTGCATGTGAGGTCCGAGTTTTCTTTTTTTATCATGTATTCCTTTCGTGGATTTGCAAATATGTTATTAGTACATCGACATACTTACCTATAAGCAGGTGACTGAGGTATTACGTGTGATATAACCAGCATTGAGTTTTCTTCGTGGACAGCTAAACCGGTGCTCTGACCGGGCGGTACATCCAACTGTATATTTAAAGACTCAGTCCGACAAACCCCCAAGTTCATATAGTTTTGCTGGTTGTCTGTTGAATTAATTACCATAAAATAACCTTATGTGTACACACATTATAGTGTTTGCGTTCGAACTGGTAAACTAGTTACTGGAATTAACAAGGAGACAATAGTCCTAAACAAATATTGACACTAGCCCTAATACAAAGATCCCTTGTTTGTCGTATAGTACGAAAAACATTTGGCCAATGTCACTTCGGAAATGTTTGCAAGTAAAAATTGAAAAGCATTTGTATGGCCCAGGTCAGAGTGAAAAGGATAATTGTTACTACAATATAAAGTATAAAATAAAAGTATAAATAAAACAATCTGCTGATTGTTTTATTTATTGATGATATACAGTTGATATATAGTTAACAAACGCTCTACATATTTTTATGATTTTCTTTTAGTTATTAATTGTACGAAAGTTATTATTTTCTCGGTGGCGCAGTTATTTATTTATTGGCTGCGGTGCTGAGGGTCGATTCTCACACGAGACAGGACTAATTGTGCAATCCAAAATAATGGTACCGAATTTGGGTGTTTGTTCCTCCTAAGTACGGTTGACGTCAGTCAGTAGGGTGGTCATAAAAAACTTAGTCAACACCGTGAACTAGATGACTAACATGTCGTGCCGACCCCATCTAGGTACGATAAGGCAGGATAAATAAAAAAGAGGTTTTTATTCCTAGAGATTTTGTTGGCAAAAGTATAAAAAGTATTTTCTTCCTACCGTAGTCGTCTTGTATGCCTAGTTTTGGCATCGAGCTCTGCCTGTAATTCCTTTGGCGCTTTTTAGTGTTCAAGGTCGACGCTCCAGATATTGAATTTTCTAAAAAAAAAAACGGAAAGTATGATAAATAATTTTTATCCACATTTTCTGTTGAAATAATGTTAATTGATAAAGACCGTTAAACTTTTCACTGTTGCTATTAATTCGGTGCATTGGTGCTTACTATTAAAATACAATTATGCTATTCATGACGGTCACCCATTAGGTTCACGATCATCAATGATTAATATATTCCTAATAAAGCTTTATTTATTTATATTAATTATTCTTAAGTAAAGGCTCGGGTAAAGACGCAAATTTACTATATGGCGTCAAATTTTACCACTCGTTAAACTTTGAATATCTTCATTAATTCTACTTCAAACAATACGGACAGTAAAAAACAACTCGTAGAATATTCTTATTACAGCACTTGTACGGCGTCCATTGTACGAATGGCTATTCTTCGGACGTCCTCTATTGTCTTCTACTACCCCCAGCTATTTGCTTAAAGGTATTTTTAATTAATGCGGTACAGTGCTTCACAAAGCTTTTGTTTTCAAATTTTATCGATGCTTGATATCAAATTTGTTTAGAGGCAAAGAAAAAATTGTTACGTGTAGTGATGCCTTAAGTATTTCTATTAATCTTTTTCTATTTTCCTACTGTCCAAGATATATAAGAGGTAGAGGTTATTATTGTAACACAAAATAACTTGAAATGCAATATACAACACTGTATGAAATAACATAATTTTTTCAAACCAAAGTTTGCAAAGTAAAGCTGATTAATTTCAAATGCAATATTTTTAGCAGTATTGCTTGTTTATTTTATTATTTCTCAAAATATTAATTGTAAAAACATTGCCGAAAACAACTCAGTGTTCTCGATTCTAATGAAATTTGGTTTGGTTTTGGTTTTAACTTGTTACTACTGTTATTTAGGAAAATATTGCATTTTTACTACGATTTTTTTTTCTTACATTCGAAAATACTATTAAATTATACTGATTCCAAAAGGTGTGAGAGTAATATGCAAATTTTAAGTATACCTCTAGTATATCTGCCACCGTGTGCGAGTACGTGTCTGGGCGCAACATGCAGCCTAGTGAAGCCAGCGTCACAGTTCTCCAAGTAGCACATCACCTCCTCAGCTGTGTAGTTGTTCCCGTCGATCACATGATCGTCGAAAGCCAACAGCTGATCACCCGGGTGTAACGCGCCACATCTAAGAATGAGGAGAAGAGATGAACAAACGTAGAAAAGGGATGGAAAGTAATCGTTCAACTGACTTAAGCGCCTTCGAAAATCTATTATTGTTTATAATTTTCAATGCTAGTGAAACTCAAGATGAAAAATAAATGTAATTTTAAAAGATAAATTGTTGAAAAAATAGGGAGCTAGAACGTCTGGGCACTTTAGTCAGAAAACGCAGCTTCGTATCCTGGTAAGAAGGAAAACTTTTCGGAAATGTATCTCCTAAATGTATCTACTAAACTCTAATCTTCGAAAATTGCTATTGATTGGGGATTTTAACCGATAGATAGCTCCAGGTATACTCCGAGGTTGGGTTGATTTCAAGCAGGAGCTTATTTATAAAAAAATATCCAATATCACAAGCAACCTGATTCGTAAATATGTTTCGACCCCACATAGGTGTGGTAAGGGCGAGAGGAAAGAAAGATTGTAATAAAATTCAACATGGTCCTTATGATAGATCACCGTTCTTATGTATCCTGCATTTCTGTTTAGTCCAATCCTTAGTAAGGAGAAACTGCATTCCACGAATCTTGTGTGTAACTTTTAATGTGCTGTCAATCCGACAGCAATAAAATGTTATGTAAATAATAGTTTTCTCTGTGCGAAATTTTGCAGTGGGTTACATATAAATACATTTAATCCTGTGTTGTAAGGACGTTTATATACATAAATTTCTGTGGAACAACACCCAGATTCGAAAAAATAATCATATAACCAGCAATAAGTTAACCAATAACAGGATCAGACATTTGGAATTTGAATTAATTTCCATTAAACTTCTTAAAATACAAAAAGAGTAGGTAGTTTATTTTTAACAAATTTACATACAATAGCTTGCCTGAAACTCATTAAGTATTTCCAACACTTACTGTTGAACGTTTTAATAACATGTATGTAATTTACGCTTTAAAAGAAATATTATGTTTTATATCTCTACATGTGTGATTACCATTATTTAGTGAATAAATTTACTTATTTATGTTTTTAATTATTTATTTGCCTTAATAGTACTATTTCAGTTTATAAATATGTATGCCATTCAGTTTACATACTTATTAAAGATATTAAACACATAAATGAGGCAGGTTTACTAAGTTAACATTGTTAAATACATAAGCTCAAAAATGATCCATTAAACTTTTGCTGCGTACCTTCGTTTTATATTTTTATTTTCTCCGTTAAATCACTTACTGCAATAGTTACACAGTTTCTAATCAGTCAAAAGATTCTCAATAATTTCAAAATCCTATGAATACCATATCATTAACTATCTACAGAAACAACAAATGCTGACAAGGTATTTAAAAAAAACGGTAAAAATATAAGTTGCAATACATAAAATACATGATTTTATAGTTATAAATATCTCACCGGTCACTAATACTCGCCGGAAGTATGCTGTCGATGTATATAGCGTTACAAGACCCAACCCTCTGGTAAGTGTCCGAACCAGAACTGTAGACGTCGTCAGAATATCGTTGATTGCTAAGGAATAATCCCAAGTCCTCATTGCACGGCCTTTCTATTTCTATTAACAGGGGTCCAGTCGCCAATTTTACCGATTCCATTATCGATACATCGTACTCTATTGTGAGACTGGTTATCTGAGGGCAGTTCTGCAGGATCTGATATACTTCCGATAAAGTTTTGTTCGTTAATGATATCTGCGAAATGTTTTACACTTTAATCATACTGGAGTTAGCGAAATACAGTTTTTTTAAATGTACGATTTTAGAATTGGATGAAGCTGCCATAACGAATACTTGTAGTTACCGAGAAACCATTAATTGTGAAGTAAAACTCGTTAAGAATGTTATCGACTTTATTGTTGATTTCATTACTCGAAGTTTTGAACATTTTCTTTATGTATAGGTCTTCAAAATGCTGAGACTATTAATCAAAATAGATTGCGATAGAATCTGTAAAGTCGTTTTATTATACAGATGAGTTTTGTTATCGTTAAATACAATCGCCACTTTAACATCTTGAGTACATTTTCAGTACTGAAATCTCTGTTACCATTTCATTACAAACAACGTTGAAGGACAGAGAGCAGTACAAAGCAATTCAATAATTTTTATAAATAATTTATGTACTTTAAATTTAAATTTATTACTTAAATAAATCATTTAACATATAGTTTTTCATTAATTAACCGATGATGCTAATCGTAGTCATTCGTCCGTAGGGTTGGCAAAGTGTTTCCAACCTAAAATAATATCAAATCAATATTTACCAGACGGAAAAGACCATCTTTATCTTTATATAAAGACAATGATATTTGTCATCAGCTAACTTGATCGTGGATTATAAAGCAGAACAAGTTAGGTTAGTACAAGGTACTTCGTGGCTCCATCATAATCAGACGATAAATACACTAGCTGTCATTACTCACATGGTCCACCTTCAGTAGCCTGTCGCCTGGCTTTATCCTAGACGTGTTGTAAGCGGCGCCGCCTGGTCGCACGTGGGTCACGACGAGGGGTAACGCGTCCAAGGATCTGCTGTTCAACACCAGATCGGCACTCGGCGCTGAGTTCTCTGGCAGACCGCCCCTAATAGTCACGCCCAGCGAACCGTTGATCTTCTCCACTGGCACCTCCGCTAACTTCGTCGTGATGTAAAGCGAGTTTTGCGAGGCTAAAATTAAATTGTCAAAGCCAGGTTTAAAACTGAACAGAGCGAAATAAAACAGTTACTTGTAAATTAAAATAAATGGACGCTTTTCAACACAAATTACACAGTTTACGCCAAATGCCAGATTTATTCGTAAAGTGAATTTAACCAGTTGTAGGTTCTTATAAAAATGGGAAGACTGTCCTGGTTATTGTATTTGTATATTTTGTATATAATAGCGTCTTCTAAGACTTAACTTAAATTTAATGTTTACTGCTTATCTAACGCACACATTTCAACATTAACTGCACTCTTTGTGGCATTTTTTGATTGCGTTGAGTATGAGTTTCCAGTTCTTCTCAGGTCGGGCTTTCCCGATAGTGTCATCGGTAGTAGTGTTTTTTGGCAATCAATAAGTGGAACGCTTCTATATTGAACTAAGAAATTTGAATTTGAACATGATGAGGTATTCGACTCACCATAATTAGGCATGTAGTATTCCACTTCGAGCGACGCGCGCTCCTCCACGTTGTCCAGCAGCCGGAGAACCTCATCGTTGGTCAGCCGCGCCGTGGAGATGCCGTTCACGCTGCAGATCCTGTCGCCAGGCGCGAGCCTGTCCGCCTCGTGGGCCACGGACTCCTTCGCGAAGCCCACAATCGACGGGACTACACCCGGCTCCGAGCGACCTGGTGAAAAGTTTCCCAGTTCAGTTGTATCAAATACTCCGTGTACAAAAAACGGTGCTAATTATTTGGTTCATCATTATGTTTTCTTATAATTAATAATTTAGGTTTTTTTTTGTTATAATTTAGGACACATATTTTACACACCTTTCTCTAGTACCAAACTAAGCAAGGCTTGTACTATGGGTACTAGAAAACTAATAGACATACTTTTCTTTTGTAAATAAATACATATTATACAAATATAAACACCCAGACACTAGAAAAACAATATTTTTCTAGTATTGGGGATCGAACCTACACCCCCTGGCGCAGAAGACAGGTACACTACCCACTACGCCATTCGGGCCGACATACAATGCTTGATAGAATTATGAGTTGTCGAAAAACGGATAAAGTGTCATCGAGTTAAGGTGAAATGATGTTATGACTGGTGAAAAATTTACCCGTTTAGTTGAATCAAATACTCCGTGTACAAAAATCGGTGATAATTATTTAATTTATCATTATGTTTAATAGAATATTGCGTGTTCGGAAAATGGACGAAGATTAAAAAACAAAGTGTCAGAGAGTTAAGAAAATAATGGTATGAACTGGATGTTGGTTGACTGGTGACATACTTCTTATACATGAGATAGTTTTCTATGCAACTTAGAGGCCTTCATCACTCTCGAAATTAAACTGTAATATTTACTGTATATATAAGTCTGAAATAATCTGTTTGTATACTACATACAATCATGTTCACTATTTTTATAATATAATTGAGACACGGAGATACGTATATGTGAATGATAAAATGAGACATTGATGTTTATACATACAAATCCGAAAATTGTAAAATTTGTATATTCACGAGCTCTGTACTCAGTAGAACTGAAAACCAGTCAGCCCCCAGGATACAACTATTTAAAATTATTTAACTATGATTATTTATAGTGTAACTTTATTAACTACAAACTAAACGATAATCTAGCGAGGAGAGCCGTAGTCGTACGAAGCACATAAATGTATACGCGGCGCAAACATAAATAACAAACCAACGAAACTAATTTAAACTTCGCTCGCCGGTTATCAGACGATAATATTTCGTGTGTGTGCTCATAACAACGAGTGAATTATACCCACGGAGCATTTTATGCTTTGCCATAACCATATACGTAATGGGTTTTGAGCTCTACAAACTATCACGTATGATGTCTGAAGAGGTGGACAGAACAGCTTCGGAAAGCTTTTAAGATATAAAACTTGACTCAAGATAGTCACTATAAAAGTAGACTAACAGCCTATACTAGCCCCAGTACTGGACAAAGGCCTCTGCACAGGGGGTATTAGGACAAAGACCACAACGCGACCCTTCTGCAGATTGGCGGACTTCACATATCTTCGAAAGATACATGTTTTATTTGATATTATTTCGAAATTATGTATAGCGTGATAATTTGGCACATTAAATTAACTATTTCATTGGTGCCGGGCACTGGGATTTGAACTAAAGTTGTTTGAGTACATTGAATTAAAAGCGAGCGTCCAGACACTGACCTATCACTATAAATTGAGTGTAATATAAGTTTTTGAATTTTTTCTCAAAGATTGATTGTAAAAAATATTCACAAACCATTGTTGGATTAACACTATATTTTTAGAAATATACAAAGAGAAAAAATATACATGGGGTATACAAAGAGTAATGGTAATGTTTGAAATTTATTTTACGGGCTTCGTATCTTACCCTAGATAAACGTATGGCGATGTCTATAAAAAGTGCTGGATTTTATTTTGCATTTAAATTTATGGCAGTTAGTATATTTTATCAATTTCTTCTGTATGCAGAGCTATGTCTAAACTAATAATTTAATTTAAGCTCGATACAATTTGACTCCATACGTGAGGGTAGGCTGTGTGCACGTAGGCTGTATACGTGCCAAGTTCTACAAAATGCAACGCGATAATTGCTTTGACATATAAACACGGTCATCCGTAAAAGCGGTATTACAGCCAACCGATATATTTTATAGTACTCTTATCCGACACTACACAAACAATAGATAATGAATTCGTCAGTAAACACAACTCTAATGTACACTTTCCAAACAATCAGCGAATTGGCTTTGCAACTGTCGATCCGCATTTCCATTTCATTAGTTTTCGATGTTTATTCGTCATTTACATATTCAAATGTTGACGGATGCTTAACGTTTGATGTTAGATGAGGACCTTTGAAAAGTGTCAGGTATGTACAATGTTGTTACATTTTCTATTAAGATAGCATCCGTTTAATTCAGTTTCAATTTGATTTGAACTGTTTTCAAAGCCAATTTTAGAGGACGTTAATTTATATAGTGCTCTGCATTCGACATCAGATTTTAAAACTTTGTAGAAAAATGTAATGCAATGGACGAAGGGTTTTTCGCCGCCGTGAGGTCGAGTCAATTTTACAAATTATAAACAAAATAATGTTTTTGTGTTTGTATAATTATTTTGCAAATTATTTTAATTGCATATATTATTTCTTCGTATAATTTATGTTTTCATTGCTCAGTTTCATGACATATTCGTTTAATTTCATATTATTTTAGTTTCATATTAATGTCCGTAAGTTAAATGTTTTGTAAAACAAAATAATTAAGCTTACAAACTGCTATTGTAACAACATATTTCTGTCAGCCTGTTGTGTAGTTTATACTTTGTGTTTAATTAATAAAAAGAATAATATTTTGTTTCATAGATAATGGTACGGAACCCTTCGTGCGCGAATACGACTCTCAGTTGGCCAGTTTTTTCGACCAAAAGAGACTTCTGATCTTTAGTATTCGCGTGCACTTACGTCTTCGTTTGTCGCGAACGACACCGCCTACTACGTTACAAACTTTATGAAATCGTGTTCGAACTTTATGAAATAATTGTTCTGTCCTTTAGGAAGGTGGAAATCATAAAGGATTTTTCATACTTGATACCCCCACTGAGTTTCCCCGTTTACAATCTAGAAAATAATTGCACTTATGAGACGTAATTTGTGTACTACTGTACTACATAGCCAACAGTTGATTTTAAAGACGTGCTCTGTGTTTACAGAAATTACTCAAGTTTTTCAACCCAATATAAATGAGAAAGCTTTATTCATTCAGTAGATTCATAACAACAATTATTCAATCGAAGTACGAGTAAATACCTTATTCAACGCGATTAAAAAAATTCTACTTGATTCTGATTTATTACGTTTTTCTTTTTCGATATTAAAGAAATAGGACAAGTTATCTATTGCCCTATTTTATTTTCCGACATACTGACTTAACAGTTAAATAGTAAAATTACAAACTTTAAAAGATCTAACGTCAAGAAAAAAAACTAAGCAAAAAATGTCATGAGATACTTCTTATGAACATTGCAAAAAGAATAAAAAAAATTAAAGATCTGTATATAAACCTTTTTTAAAACGTCCAAATGCTTATACTTAACTTGTTTATGAATAATGGCATTATAATTTAAATTTTATTATGTATAGAATTTAAAGTTATACATTATTCCTAATTAAATGCAAATGAAACAGAGTTCACGTGCAAAATATTCCATTCTGAAATATTCTTCCTAAAACACATATATTACGAGAATATTATATATTATCATTGCATATGTTATCATAGTATGTATGCCTTAAATAACTTCTATGTGCGCAAAATGTTTCTAGGAAAACAAATTACAGAATAGAGGGCTTCTGCGTTCACGCGTTAACAAAGTTAATTAGCGTACATAAAATCTATTGAAATATTTTATTGACATAAAATAATAAATAAAATATAAGGAAGTATTTTTAGATAATAATAATATAAAAGCGCTTTTAGTGAAGTGTTATGACTCGTGTCGTGTTATATATATATATGTATAAGTGTTAGAGTATCGTCTGGTGAGTGTTGTAGCCAAGGTCCACTTTCTTTCTATTTCTATTTTTTTTTAAAAACACTGCCCTTACTTTAGGATAATATTATCCTGTGTTGTAAAGGACGTTTTACAAACATAAATTTCACGCGGACAAACACCCAGATGCGAAACAACTATCTGTGGGTCAAAGAAATAGTTGTCCCGTGTGGGAATCGAACCCACGACCCCCGACGCCGAAGCCAATACCTTGGCAACTGCGCCACGGAGTCATCAAGATATTTGTTGAAATTTGTTGTTCTTTATTGAAATGTGGCCACTACTACGGGTGGCTACTACGGGTGTAGCAAATGTTAGTGGGCGGCGGTTATCACTTATCAAGTTGCCACTTTTTCACATTAAAAAGTTACTTGTAGAAGTTAAAATTACTCCCAATCAATAAATGGTTTTATCAATTAAGCTTACAGTTTATATTATGATGTTACATGGCAAAATGTAAATAAATAAATGTAATATTGGCAGAAGAGAGCGACGCTGGCGATATTATAAAGGACCTTTTTCTAAGGAGCGATTCAAATCGAAGCTCCGCTCCTCTAATCTATGAGTTAAGAGTTCCAGCAGGGAATTAGCAATTAACAATCAACTTAAACTTTTCGCTCAAACGTGCCATCTAAGAGTTACAATGCTAGTAGCAAGTACCAGTAGCAAACACAAATGACGCATGGCAATGAAAAAAATAAAATATAGAGTTTTACGTTAAAGAGTTCTCATCCTTTACTGAAAAACGTTATCGTTGCAGTTATACGTTGGATGTTTCGGATTCACTAATTTAAGAAATATTATGTCGTTATCAAATTAATTAAGAGCCGTGATAGCAAGTGTCCGAGCATTTACTTCTAATGCAATGTAATCGAGCAACACGTATTTAGATCCCATTGCTATCTCCGCTTGAGCCACGCAGTTCAGAAAAAATGAGAGCTTGTTTTTTGTTAAAGAAAACCCGGCTTCTGTCGAGCGGGGCGAATGAGTGAGTCAAGCCCTGAGTCACTCGACGAGCGTTCGTGTGCTATCTTTAATGCAGCGGCTCAGGGGGGGCTCGAGTGGGCCGAGGGATAAGCGCCGAGCGA